TAAAATAATTAAGTATCCGGATGTAGTTGTTTACAGTACTTTGGAATTAAAGGATTTCCAATGGATGCAAATTGATGATTTAGAGATGCAACTTGCAGATTTTCAAGGTAGCATTTGGACTCATGTGTTTGTCGACTTAAGGTCGAAACTTGAAAATCTGGAACGAAATCGTTTGAATAATGAAGAAGAGTGCAACTACGAACAAGAAATTTTGAGTGCTTGGAACAGAGTATCTGACACTTTTAGCAACATAAAAAATCTAGTGATGGCTTTGATAACAATTTTTTCATCAACATATTTTTGTGAGACTTTGTTCTCAGCATTAAATAATATTAAAACGAACAAAAGAAACCGGCTAACAGAGAAGTTAGTGGCGCTTGCTTGGCCTTGAAGTGCACCAAGTATGAACCTGCAATCGAAGAATTAGCAGACAAACTTCAGCACCAAAAAAGTCACTAATTTCTAGTTTTCGTACCATTTGATTATCATTGTTTTTATTATTACTTTTTCCTAAATGTACATTGTTTTTCTGTTTTTGTTCATTTTATACATATTTTTGGTTGATTTCTCTTTGTTAAATGGCATTTAAATATATAAAATAAATATCAAAAATATAAATCTTTTTTTTTACTATGGTTGCAAATATCAAAAAAAATTATGAATATTTCTATATGTGACACGGCACCAGAGTTAAGTTAGGGTTTTTCAAAATTTTGACATGCCGAGCTCAAAAGGTTCGCCATCACTGCTTTAGGTCTTTGAGTTTGCAAAACCACCATGCATGCCTTCCCTGAACTAATTAGCTTAGGATGTGGTCTCCCTCTCCCTCCACAATCTTCATAAATTGACCACCTCTATTTTTGTAGGTTATAGTGCCATCATGTGGCTACTCTTTTCCTAAAATAAAATGTAACATTTTTGTAATAGAGACTAGAACACTGTGATTGAGAAACCCAACCATTCCATACACAGGCATGACAACTTCTAATTTTGTATTGGTTTCTAAGACTGGCTGTGTATAGCTTCCCTTGGAGACTTCTGAATCTGAATTGTTAACATGCAAAATTTGGAACCATTTACTTATGCAATGTTTTGTTTTACTTATGTTTATTAGTTTATTATAAAGGATACAGGTGAAGAGATATATAAGTCTGGAAGGGTCCCAAGTGTAGGAGCTTTTGTCCCTTAGAGTTGTGATGTGCCATTTTCCCAGCACATGGATATGTTCACCTACCTGGAAGCTCTCAGAATCTCATAGTTTAGAGATTGTTATGGAGGCTGTATCATGTAGACAAACTCTAACCCCTTCCCTCCCTGGAAGCTAAAAGTTCCAAGCTTCTAATCATGCTTTGGTGACCAGCCCTCATCATGAAGCTATACAGGAGGTCACTAAGAGATACCTTATTAGACCAAAAGATGCTCCTATCACTCAGGAAATCACAAGAGTCTAAGAAACTGTGTGTCAGGAACCAGAAGCAGAGACAAGATATGTATATACTAGTGGCCCAGTGCACGAAATTCGTGTACGGGGGGGGGGG